GTTGAAACAGTAGCTGTTCCTAATATCCTTCTTACCCGAGTCCACCCATCTAACCACTGATTCCCAATCGTGGTGGTCAGAATACCTTTCGTATAACCAGCGGCATAGGCACTATCCAGAATTCTGACGATTGAAAAACCTTCAACGACGGTAGAGGGTGAAGAGAATTGATCTGTAAAATGAAAATGCACGTACCCTGAGACCCCCTGGTTTCTCCTGATTGCTCTCCGTTCTCGTCTGCCAGGCCTCTTTCGTGTTTTCTTTTTTACCTTGCGTTTGGTATTTAGCGTCGGGCTCCACCTATCTATTAAGTCTTGTTCCACCAATTCCAGTTCATCCACAAAAGCAGACACCAAAGGAAGAGCAACATACGTATCCCACCTTTTCTTTCGAAACCATGATTTCAATTTGTGATTACGTCCATCTTCCCGATCTACCCTGTAGACATGTTTCTGCCACTGATCATCTAATTCCCTCTGCGTTTTACCAATATACGTGGCTCGATACCACGGAGAAACTAACACACACGTGCAACAATCTATCGTCGACCAGTCCTCGTGCGTTGCCAACCACGATACCCAATAACCCCGAAACTTATTGAGCCAGGGAAAAATGCCACATAAAATCAAATACAAAAATAACAGCCTTAAAACCTTCTCGCTTTTAATCCATAGCTTCCTACTATCCTTCCTTAACCGTTTCCTCATAGAAAGACACCTTACCAGAGAGGTGATTACCCAATCATCGTGAGAAATAGCCGTAGCTAGGACGTAGTCTCATGGATCGTCCTAGTAGGTGACGTAGAGCCACTCCTGACTCCAAACGCGACGACCTCCCTTCGTCTGGCAAGATCGGCTGCAGTAATAGTCTTGTTGACATAGGTAATGCCGTCCTTCTTGCAGAGTTCCTAAAGTTCCGGCTTAGATAGCGGGACTAATATCTTCTTCATATCCTCGATGTACAGTTCTCTTGCATCCGGGCCGCTGCCGGCGACCACGGCCTTCTGGTCAACCCCCAAGCCTTTCGCCCCTCCTCGATTGGGTGGTTCTGACTGATGGATTTCTCCTGATGCTCCAGCAACCGATGCAAAGCGTTGCGACATTGGTACAGTCCTTGTTTGCAGCGCCGGGGTCCGAGCACGTAACCCACTAGTCGCTCTGTGCGACGTGATGGAAGATCCAGCAGTGGTTGGAGGAATATGGGTGGGTTCCACGGGGGTATCGACAGGTGGAGAAGAAGGCCGTCGAGGCGGCCGAGGTGTGCAAGATGGGGGAGGGGGCGGAGGAGGTGGAGG